AGTGAAAATATCTATATAAGGTTTAATAAATGAATAAGCAAAAGTCTGTAAAGTGATGATTAAAATAAGGAGAGGGGGTTGAAGTTAGCAAACCTTGATAACTGAGGATAAACATTACGTCCCATTCTAATTACTTTAAGACGTCACCACCAATTTTGTACACTAATCTGAAAATGTTGTCTTCATGAAAACAAAATATTTGCTATTTACCAGTGACAGTTCAGTCTTTATCGACAGTATGTATGATTGATTAGTGAAGGAGATGTGGATATGTCGCATACACATTAAGCATCAAGCGTTTCGATTACTTCCTACTAAGCTCACTATTTAAATTATCTCGCCTAACTTGAACTATGATTAATTCACAGTTTTCTTGAATGGTCATTTCATAAAATCTAAAAGACGAATGAAAGTATTCTTCTGTGCTTCCAATTCAGGTGGTAGAATTTATCCAGATGCTCTGAATAATTGATGAGCCTACTTCCATTTCGAGTGAAATCATCTAGTAAAAAGATTCGAAAGATCTTAGATATACAGTATATATATATACCGGATAACACGGTGAGTTTTCTTGACTCGTCAGCTTGAATGTGGTTGTAAGGATGATACTCTGCTCTGATGATGTCCGTCATACGACGAATAAAAGCTTAGCAGGTTTTTACCAGAATTGGAGGAGATTGCCCCGGAGACAGCGTCAACAAAAATGTTACAATAAAGCCAATCAACAGGTGATTAAAGGGAATCCGGCGTTGCCTTTTGATGAGATCGACCTTCGAATCTATTCACCAAACACTTTTACTCGAAATGGAAGTAAGCTAAACAATTATGAAACAAGAGATTCTCCAAAATCCAAAATTGCTTCACGTGTAGTGAATAGTTCTAACCCTTTTAATGATCAGTAGAAAGAAAAGTTGAATAAAGATACAAGGCTCCAAAAAATAACACCTTTTATACACCCTCCTGAAAAAAACTAGTCAGTAAATTGGGATATAACTGGCCACAAACTTGAGTTGAGGGAGGTTTGCTTTAACCTAAAAACTGCATGCGACTTGTGACTCATGGATATTTAGACACTGCTTCCAGTGTGAACACCTTTTTAGAAGATTCTTTGTTAGAGGGAGCATGCTTTTAATGATCCATATCCAAAGATATCAAAGCCACCTCCATTTTTTTAAGAAGTACAAATGGAATATTTGGATGGAGCCCGATCACTTTAGATACATATGTCATTAGGCCAAGTAAGAGTAACGCTCAATCAAGATTAATCATAATCATTATCTAAGAATAAGTTAATTAAAGAACTCACCATCTGAGGTAATAAAAGGCAGTAGGAGGAAAGAATCTCGTGAAGTTTCTGAGGTGAAGACGATGCCCAAATTCCATTCTCCTCGGAAATACCACTAGCTCCAACGCGCGATGAAGATGAAACTGGCTTTTCAGCGTTCTGCCTCTGATAGCTTGGGGTTTGAAGGATGTTAGCCTCTTCAATGTGCGGAGCCAGATTCGTTATATCCTGAGTCGGAGTGGTGATCGGCTCGTATGAATTGAACCAGGCGAGTGTAATCAAGATCAATTGATTTAGCCGACCACCCAAAATGGCTCTAAAGTCCTCAGAAAACGAGGACTTTGGGAATAGCTTTTGTGGAGCACAAGGAGCAGCATACTGGACAGCAGACATTCCACTTTGAGAGGCAGGGATGGAAGTAGCTTTCGTAGAGTGTCTGGGAATGATAAAAAAATAATTAATGATAATAATAATGAATTAATAATTAAGGAGTTACATTAAAATATAATGCTTAATGCTCGATTATTATAAGGATTTCGTTAGTGCAATCACATCTGCTAAATTTATATTTTCCAGTGCTTCTGAAAGCTCGATTAAGCAAAAGTCAGTTTCATTTAAAGCAATGCAAGACTCACATCACCTCGTGTTTAAGAAAAACAAGAGTAATCAAAATAATATACACCAGCCCTAATTACCTAGATAGGGTCTAGTATACAACCAATCAAAAAACATCTAAGAGTAAAAAATGCAATTATGTGTATGTCTTGGTGGAGATTTGCTGCATGTAAATGAAACACATCCGATTAACTTACGTAATTTCGGCTGATGGTAAACTCAAGCATCAGGTCAACCGATTACGCTGAAGTGATGTGACCTTGTTTTCACACATTGACCGTGTTGTTATGGCAAACTAGATGAAAAATACTACGTCCAGAGTCCTCTGCCATACTAGCCATAATAATTTTGAGTGTTGGACCGTGAACTTGGTACATTCCCAGGCATTTTACCGGCATCGTCAGTAAGTCCAGACATTCTTAGGACCAAACTACAGCAGCCTGCTCAATAGTTGTGGTATACTCCTTCTGCTCTAGGAAATACAACATTTCTATATTATCGTACCGCCCCCTTCATTATCAAAATTTGTTATCACAACTTGTTTATGTGTGTCCCCTTTTGGGCATATTTCGTGAGGCTCGTTTCCTCTTCCGCCCCAGCCAATTTTGCTCAAATTGATGATCCAACTTGGTCCTTGAGATCTACAATTTAGTTCATTCAAATTCTACTAGGCTCCCTCGTGCCCTGGGCGATCTGTCTCTGAGCACCCCGGCTCAGTGCTTCCTCTCGATCTTTGCCACTGTATCCGTTTGATAGCACAATACCGTAGTCTCACAGATCAGATTATCAAAGACTGAATTCTCAAGCTGGATGATAAGCTAATCTAACACTAAACTTCTTCCTATCTCAGTCTGGCCTGCACGTTGGTCAACTCTAGTGGCTAGGGCTTAACTTGGCGAATAAAAGTTAGATTTTGAGGAATGTCTTGGCTTACACATGTTGACATCACGCTCATTTCGAGTGGAAGTGTGGTGAAAAGATTCCAAGGTCGATCCAACCA